TTTTTGGCTGATATAAGGTTTTAAAACTTGGTTAGATGGACAGTTTTTGCAGTGTATCATTCCCTGCACCTAATCAAGACCTACAGATGAAAGTGGAGAGTGAGCCAGGTGTGATGCACGAGAAGTGAATCAAACAGGTAAAAGTCTCACATGCAGCRGTCAAACCTCAGCTGACACACAAGTTAAGCCCCCTGGTCTTCAGCAGCCCTCCATGTGCAGTCAAACTGCAGCCGCTTCATTTCTGCAGAGACTCAAGAAGAAAGCCGTCCCCCTGCCTGTCCCAAAGCATGAACAGGATGATAAAAGAGGATGTTCCTCATCTGGAAACCATCTCTGCTCCGTCTCAGAGCCACACCACGGCTCATCAGCATCCATTACAAGTGCTCAGCCCGCTTTGTTTGACATGAACAAAAGCCAAGATTCCACTTTCTTCTTCTGCTTGGAGTGGAGCATGTGATGGGCTCCAAAGATAACAGCAGAGGATCCTCAGRATTCAGTGTTTGTGTTCTTATTCAAACCATGTCGTGTTTCTCACACATCTCCTGAACGTCTTCAGTCTCACAGTTTGTATTTTTACCAACCGATGGAGGCTGAAGTGGCTCCACGAACCAGCTAACACAGTTTCAGATGGAACTCATGATGACTCAGCAGATTTTACAGAGACTGGTGCAGCTGAGCACCATCCCCAACAAACTCCTTCAGATGATTCTTTAAATGTAACGATTCACTAAAGCTCCCATTGATTCAGTTATTGATTTAAGTTCTTCAACAAACTGAATTGTTTTCATTTTAGAACSAAAATATGTTTCTTTAAAATCAGCCTTTGTCCTTGTATCAAACTGTCTGTTGTCTTAGTAACAGGATAACGTCTAAATAATATAAAATATCTTTTTGTCTTAAAGACAAAACTGTTAAATAACAACAATCACATCTATTCATTCACTTGCAGCAGTTATAACTGATTATAAATGAATTAATAATTCATACATTGAGTTCATGCCTTGTGGTTTTTGCTTAAAAATATTTTGTGTTTTCATTTTATTTTTGTTCTTCTTTTTCTTTTTAGCTACTTACTTTTCTGSTTTTGCAGAGTTRACATTCTGTTTGCTCTGATATTTTAGAGTTTGATTTGTATTTTTTTATGATTGTGGAATGMTTAGGGTGGAACAAACCTTACCTGAATGGGGTGGGAACTAAATTTTGGACATTTTAATGACATTTCTACATTTATTCATAAAGTTGT